CGGTTTCGACTGGAGCCGGCGCGCGTGTCTTGCTCTCGTGAATTCGAAGAAGAAGGAAAACAAGGGACAACGGGAACAGAGGAGAGATACGTTTCTTTTCCGGCGAATCTGAAATTCGAATGTACCGTTCGCCTTCTTCTGCGTTTATTTTTCTCGGGACCGCGGAAACGGGGAAGACCACGGCGAAGATACGCAACGCTCGCGGGCGTAAACACTCCGGCGGGGAAAATAAAATTCAGATAAAACGAAATCAGCGGGAGATTGTCGCGCAATTCGCGCGAGGTGCTCGGATGAATTATTCACCGGCGTGCCGCCGGTGAACCACGCTGTCGCGAGCGTGGTGGGTCGCTTAAATGCATCGATCCTCGTGGATGATCACGCGACTTCCGGTTCTGCTTTCTTTTAGAGAACGGCGTAGTATGTTCCGATGTTGGGGAACATTGTTTTCGTAGCATAAGCTCTAAACGCTTTAATAACCTTTAGCCTGTTCACTGCTTCTCCTGTAATATCGTGTCAGACTCGCGGTGAACAATTCAAACCTACTTCGTCGAATCCAAATGTTTTCAAAATTTTTCAAATTCTCTTCAATTACTATGACAATAGTTTCGTCAAGCATAGTTGCGAACGAAATCATAAAACAGATCTATTATACTAGAAAATTTGGAAAGATTCCAATTGTTTATTCTATTTCATACATTTTCTGTTTAATACTGTACCCATTTAAAACCACGGTTCAACTTCCCATTAGCCAAAATCTAACCATCACAACGTATCTATTCTTCCAGCAAATCCTCTGTAAACGATTTCTAAATTTCCATCGCGAAAACCGCAGTCAGCGACGTTCAAAGCTTTCCTCGCAGGTTTTCCAGCGTTTTCTCGACCCATTTCCATATTGTTTACGCAATAATGTTCGCGCGGAAATGCTAACGCCGTCGCCGGTCTGGTCTGTCTGCAACACGTGCGAGCGTCGTAAATTTCCGATCGGAATTTATGTTGGGCAAAGTGTGCTCGTCCACATGTAGCCCGTATTCTCTGCTTCTCCTCCATTTTTTCTTTATCTCTCCCCACCGCGGCTCCATCATTGTTAAAGCCGAACATATTGTTATTCCCCGAACGTCGCCCGGCGACAATGCCGCATCCGTTTTCGGGATGCAATCATCCCTATAAATGCGTTTGCTCGATAATGCCGCGCAGGTGTCTTTCATCGTCGCATCCGTCCCTCCCCGTCGATGCGTTTTTTCACCGCGCACATATTTTGCCTTTTTTTCTCTTTCCCTCTCTTTCTAACTCACGTAGCGAAGTCAATACATCCGATCCGGAGCGGACAATACGCGGCACGCATGTGGAACTCGTCAACTTCCCCGTGAAAACACTGAGAACACTCTGCCCCTGGAACGTCCGTTATACGTTGTTTTCGTGTCCAACGAAATTTCGGAATTTTCCCGACCCCCGGGAAATTCCGTTTTATTCGCTGGCCGAGATTGCCGTGGAACTTTCGTTCCTCCGTGCAACGGGGATTTGACTAACGATCGCGGGAATGCCCCGATGATTGTCCAGAAGTTGTATTCCGGGGTAATGGAAAGTGGGGGCACGATATCACGTGGGATTCGTTGTGGACATTGGGGATCTAGTGCAGTAATACCTCGGTACTTGTTTCGTTTGAAAATTAAGTTTTCGAGTAGTGGAGTGTGTGGGTAGAAATATGAGATTTGGAATGTTGGATGTTGCGTAGTTTGAAGATTTTGTACGGTAACGCCTCGATAGTTGTTTCATTTAGAATCTATTGTTGGAGGTAATGAAATTTATTATTAAGTGTATTGTACGGACAGGAGTATTATTTATATATTTATTTGGATTTGAGAATTTAATACGGTAAAGCCTCGATGCTTGTCTCATTCAGACTCTTTGAAGTAATGGTTTACTGTAAATGTATCGTGGAAAAGAACAATGTGAGAAATTTCTCTTGTAGATTTTAGAAGATAAGTGCAGGTGCACCTCGAAACCTGTTCCACTTAGGAGCCATCACTTAAAGCAAAGAACTATATTGATTCTGACAAACTGAATCAACTAAACTGCCTGCTAAGGACAAAGAACTGCATGGTCGTGCAGCATTCGCACGTTCGCGAAGAGAACAACTAGAAGAAACAAGGGGGCGATAACAGATAACGGAGTATGATAATGTGTCTGCAAACTGATAAAATGGAAATGTTAATTGTCTGAAGAACTGCTGTCTCTACAGATTCTTTGTTACGTCTGAATGGCAACGGAACCTTGAACACACAATCTTATCACGCCATGAATAATACACTTAGGTTGTGCGCTTCATAAATTAAGATACAATAACGTCTTCTAATTTCTGTAGTATATATTACCAAGGCTGAAGCTTCGATAACGTCACAATAATTTTTGCAACAAAATTTCCGTCTGTCCGACAGTGTAGAAACGATGTTGAAATAAATCTTTCTGAATCAATTCTTAGTTTGAAACCAGAACTATTACATTTCATTATATTATGTTTCGTCGAAATTATTTTATTAGTACCAATTATTATTTAACGTAGAACATACTCAGTGCGCGTGTAAAAAATTCATAGCAACGATCGTAACCGCACGTTGATAAATCTCGGCAGCCTTTAATGTCAACGTCGCGATGCCGACGGAAATTACCTTTGATTCTTCAGCAAGCAATAAAAGTATAATTCACCGGGCAATTGATGACTTTAGCAATTTAAAATAATTGCCCGTCCCATTATTCCCTACCACTACCTCACGGTAGATGCCGGAAACTTCGGGAAAACGGTAAAATATATAAAAAAATTACCATTTCTGCAGATTATAAAATACATAAATAGGAACATTTAAAAAAAGAGACACTTTTTTCACGTAATTTCATGTAACCACGATCATTATGTAACGTTACAGTTCAAAGTTGTCCAACTTGATTCGCACCATAAACTCGCAACCCCGTACTTTATTTTTTTTACAACCATATACCCTAGAACCTTTTTATCAATCTGCAGGAAGGACCATAATTTTCTTCTTCCTTATGAGCTATCTGCAAATCATGAAGATTAAACATTGATAATAATACCTACAACAATAAAAAACGTCATCCTTCACAAAACGAATGATATCCACGCTCATTACACGTACATTAAAAATCCTTTTACAGCCGTTGAAATTGGTTGTATCACCGACATGATTTCAGACATTTTTTTTCAATTTAAATTTCCATTAATACAAGTGTTCATACTTTTTCAGTAATATTCATTCCATATTTTACCTACATACATTCTCTCAACGGCTATTGTCCTATGATTTCTTTCACAACTATGCTTGATAAAACTACGTTATTGTTAATAATTTAGAAAAATCAGAACAAAGATTGATACTTATTTTGTGTCTACGTTTACTCTAAAGGTTAAAGCTTAATATTACACAAGTAATATTTGACTCGTATTAAAACCAAATAAGTAACATTTAAATTTGTTTCAAATTTACCACAATCAACAAGTTAATAAATATTTCGAAAATTCATAATAATTCATAATTAACACGTTAAATGCCATGCAAGATAATCGATGTCGAACCAAAATGTTTAACAACGTAACTAAGTTGATAACAGTGTAATGCAAAGATTATAACGACAGATAGTGAATAATTGTTGCTACTTTTCTTTGTTGAAAAGGATAACCGTAAATGGCGAAGATTTTCGTGACGCTTACCGTGTTATTCCGGAAACCGCAGTGGAACTGCAAGTGAAATACCACCGGCGGGGGCAGTTCCAAAGGAAAATCACGAGACAAGGGTTAAATCTCCCACAAACCGGGTGTCCGCGAGTTTTCGTGCCGTTGTTCGAGTTCTAACGTCGCTTAAAAGGCGCATGAAAAACGGTTTCCGCGAGAGCGCCGCGAAACGCGATTAGACCGCGAATAAAATGGCATTTTGCGGGGGCCGGAAGTCTACGGTCGGTGGCGTACGGCTGGCAAAACGGTTCTGAAGGGAATTCATCGCGCGGAGCAATCTCCGCGATCCGCGGACCGGTCTTGTGCTCGCGCTAATGAGAAGCCAGCGGCAACCGGAAGTGCCGGGTCTGTAAAGGAACCAGCGACCTTCGCGAACTCACGCCGCCCGGAACATTTCGAAAGAGAAAGCCGGCTGCCGGGTGAATTTGCATCGCCACGCACCCCCGCATTTCTCGGCGCAAGAACATGAAAAAGGTGTTCACCGGTGCTCGCTGAATTACAATATGGCGTCGCGCGAGAGAGACGCTTGTTGCTAAGTTCCAGCGATAGCTTCGCTGCAGAATTGATAAACAGAAATTGGTTTGCTTTATTTTGCCGTTGGTTGTTGGGGGATTTTGGTATTGCGGAGTTTACCTTGCTCTATGATTTATTTAAACGTGATCGATAATTACTCTACGTCTATATTTACTCCATAGGTTAACCCTTTGCGGACGAAGATTCTTCGAAACATACAAAACCTTCAACATACGAAGCTAAATTATATATCGATTGCTTAATTTATAGAAAAAAAGAAAACTGCGTGCTGATCTCTTGCTGTTCGACTAATTAGATCATTTGTCCACGACATAGTCTTCGAAATCTCATTTTATCTCGTCGAAATGCCGGCATCCGTCCGCAAAGGGTTAACCATTGATAATAGAGTATTTAATTTATATTTAAGAAAGAGGAATAGTAGTTTGTCAAATGCAGTTTAAAATCTTCGTCAGGAATTCGGTACGATATTGCAGATGAAGGGGTTGGAATTTGTGGAATTGTTTGAATTAAATATCGGTTGAAATGGTTTGTCTAGGTGAGTTCTTTTAGGTAACGAGTGTCCATTTTAGGAGGAATTAGTGCTAGTGTTACTAATCGAATGAAATAAAGAGTTTACATTTTTAATCTGTCAGTTTGAAAAGTGGTAGAAATCAAGTACCGTGTGAATCGTGGGGTAAGCGTACTTCGCGTAATAATCTTTCGCCGTTCCCATGTGTTGCAGACTGTCGGAGCCGATGGGTTACATCCACGACGGGGTCGGAAATTACACGGCGGACGTGAAGTGTTCCTGGCTGATCGAGAGCAGCCCGAACTTCACGATCCGCATGCACGTGGAACAGTTCGCGACCGAATGCGGCTGGGATCACCTGTACATTTACGACGGTGACAGCGTCGAGGCGCCGCTGTTGGCCGTGTTCTCCGGCCTGATGCACAAAGATGGCTACCACGTGAGACGCGTGCCGGAAGTGATCGCCCGGTCCGGAAGCGCGTTGCTGCACTTCTACTCGGACGTTGCGTACAACATGAGCGGCTTCAACATTACTTACAAGATCAACGCCTGCCCTAGCAGGTAAAAGATTAGACTATAGAAATGAACGATTGAAAGATAGAAAAAATTAGAGGGAGGAGAGTAAACGTTACTCATGATGAAAACAAGATTCCATATTTGATTAAACGTTAATTCATTAATTAATAGTTAACTAACGGTTAAATTAACACGTTCGCTATCAGCTTGATCTAGCAGGTAGAGGACCAGAGAATAGAAATGGAGGATTGAAAGATAGAAAAAATTAGAGAGAGGAGAGTAAACATTACTCATAATGAAAACAAAATTCCATAATCGACTAAAAATAATTAACAAAAGCCTAAATTAAGGCGTTCGCTACCAGTCTGTCCCAGCATATAAAAGATGAGACTTCTCAATAGTATTATTCCATTCAATCCAACAAATCTTCTAAGCAAAACATTGGAAACATCAAACTAAATCGAATTAATGAGTTCCTAAATGTAACGCTGTAATTAATTTCATTTCCTGTACGTAACATATAGGATTTCGATCGTTACAAATACGTCCAATTCGTATCGAACGTGTTAACCAAACTAATATAGACAGAAAAGATATATTAATAGAAAACCAAATAGAGAAGGACAAAGCTGGACGTTTAACTCAATTAGTTTGATAAAAATGAAATTCCATGATCGATTAAACAATGAACAATTAAAGGACAAACCGATCGAGAGTGACGGACAAATAAAATATCCTAATAAGCCGTTAGAGAGAGAAAGGGAGAGAGATCGGTCTTGTCTTTTGTTTGACCAATCAGATAGGATGATTTGTTTACGGACCGCATGCGTATTTATTTGTATGCACTTCCGCCCTCCTCCGTCCCCTGTTCCGCTTTCGTTTTTCACGTCGAGAGGTTGTTTGCGCGGCGCACACAACGGTTTGTTTGAGTTTGTGTTCGACTTCTGGATCGGCCGATTCGCGATTCCTCCTCTGTTTTTCGAATTTTTGCGTGTTCCATTCGTCCCTCGATCCCCACGCGTTCGAGCATCGATTTTTTTCAGGGGATCGATATTGAAACGGTTTGATTTTCCTCTTCTCTTTCGAGTGGTAGTCGTTGTTCACATCAATTGCTTGTTTTTTTCGTTGTTTATTGATCGCGGAGTTCAGATTCAACATGGCTCTAGTGTTTGCTGCGGAAGTATTGGAATAAATGAAAATTTTTCTACGCGATTGATAATGATTTACACCTTGAAAATGATTGATCGTCTAGTGCTAGACGTTTTTAGCTACCTTGTATCTCTCCACGTGTCTTTCATATAATTTCCGACCAATCGTATAAACTGCAGATTTTGTTTGCTCGATGGAGTTCACGTTGCGCTTGATTGCCTAAAATTCAATGGAAGCAACGAGTTCCATTAATTTTAATGGATGCTTTGAGTTTACGCAACGGAACGCGATATTGTTTATTTCGCCGGACGTAATAGATCAGAATATAACAAACGTTCGAACCGTTTATTTTAGCGGAAGTAGCACACCGACAGTTTGAAAAGGAATGCAGCGAGTGCAAATAAATAGCACTTGAAAAAATAAACTGTCGGGCTAGATGAAGCTTTTAAAATCTCCGTTCGAAATAGACACGACCGTGAATGGTTTTCGCGTGCATTAGGTAACCAAATAAGTTCCTGCGATTTTCGTATCATTTCATTATCGTTTTAACTCTGCGAATCGGTCAAATTGGTCGCCATTACTTTCAATAACCTTCTCTAAACGCAATATACAAGTGTGTACTCCATCTACACTCTGTTTCTAGGAAGATTCAATTTCCTTTACGCTGAGCATTCTTTCAATTCTCAGCTATACAACGCGCGATTTATGAGTGTTTCTCCTGTTAAATAATTCAACTCTAAAATGAAAACAAGTGATAATTAATCGGGGAAAAACCTGATAAAACAAGATAAATTATGGTGTCCGTAGCTCAGAAATGTATGCAATCTTACGCCAGTTATCTTGCGAAAACAATTTCCTATCGAGAATTTATACGACACGCTCCTCTGCTCATTACGAAATCTTTCTATTAACAAACATATGCCGAATTTTTCTAATTTTTCTTCGTGTAAATACGATGAAACACTTGTTGTAACGCTATGTTATGTTAATTTATTCAGTGACTATATTATTTCTCAAGGAGGGATCGTTCACTCAAGTTTCAATTATCGAACAAGTAACGAATAAGGAATCAATGTATGGGTAAAGATAAGTCGGAAATAAGAAATAGAATATTCTCATAGGAAACTTCATTTCCAAATTGAAGTTTTATATTGATATTTATGAGAAGTGGAATTATATGAAAAAATAATAAACCCTCCAAACAAACAATACCAAAATGTAGATTAGGGAAACTTTATTAAACTGCACTTTTGCCAAATATTATTCTACATTTCCTACTTAACACTGATTTTTCCAATAAACGTAATCATTCATTTTCTCGATAACGTATCGAACGTTGAACTTCTCAGTTTCTGCTTGAACGCTTCCCACTCCAGAAATTTCCCACTAGAAATACTCAACATTTTCCAATAAGATATCGTCAACATTTTTCGAGCTTAACGAGAAATCGCACACAAATTGAGTAACAACACTGTTTTCTTTCAATATTTCACACATTGATATACAAAGTTTAATATTAAATATCGAACTTCATAATTTCGCTGCGTCAAATCAATTGACGATTATGGAGTGCAAAGGTTTAAGAAATCTGTTTCGACTGCATGGAAGTTTCGACGAGTGTTCACTTTGCAGTCAAAGCGTTAATGTTCCACACAGAAAAATTCCTTTGTACGTGTAGAATAATTTTCCGAACGCCCCGTAGAATATTTCCCATTCTCCCTTCCTTTACTTACGTGCACGTTATCGTTATACAAAATCGATGAGCAACACGTCGCGCGGTTCCCACGCGAATCCTCATCTCGCGAGCGTGAACACGTCTGAACGGAGGACAGTTCGCGCGCCTCCGACCCCGACGAAATCTGTGCCTCGCCGTTCATTCCTCCCGCGCGCGGGGCGTATTCGTCCGTCGATTAAACAAATGTTTATTCTGTCCTCCCGTGTACACGATAAGCGCGTGTTTGCCCCGCGATTAGACCGAGATACGCGACGCGCACACGTGCGTCGCGCGCGTCCTTTAACCAGTTCGCTGTCGCGACCTCTTTGAAGAGTGTGTGCACCTGAAACGTGCGCGGGAAGTACGCGACGAGTATACTCGTCGAATAGTGTGATTGTTTTAATATAGAATAATATGGTATATAATATAATATGTAATGTAATATATAATGAAATATATAATATGATATATAATGTGATATATAACATAGAATTAAGTTGTAACGAAATGACTGTTCTATTTGTTAATTCCGTTGCTGACATTTATATATTTACTTAACTCAAACATCCATTTTACATACGAAAGAAAAAAATTCACGAGAAATCAATTACTTGGAAAACTAATTTAATTTCAAGTTTAATCTGTTGTGGAGTAATATCGAGCAATATCATGTAATGTCACTAGTATATGATACTTTACACAGGAAATGAAATTAAACAGTAATCTTCCAGTAAATATAATTTAACAAACAAAAATTCAGGTCGAAGTGGTTTCTCAAAGGTTTCGTTGTATGTAAATATACAACCATTTTAAAACAAATCTATATACACCTTCTACCAAAAAGTATATTTATAAGAGAACATATCGAATGTTCTTATAGAACAAATTATATAACGCATTGAAGACGAAAAAAGAAGGAAATTTGACAACAGTAACCAGAAGCTAATAAGCAAATATTTTTCAAATTCTCCAGGTATTCTTACACCGACTGTTCCGGCCATGGGGTTTGCATCGACGGCGTGTGTACGTGCGACGCCACGTGGACCGGCGAGGCGTGCGAGGTTCAAGTCTGCCCGAACAATTGTTCGCAGAGTTCCGAGCAGGGCAAGTGCAACCGCGAGAGCCACCACTGCGACTGCGCCCACGGTTACGAGGGTGAGGATCCGTCTCTGGTTACCGGATGCTTGGTTCGAACTCAGTCGCACGGAAAACCACCGACACGCCTGGAAAGTTATTCTCAGGGAGTCGAAACCGAAGTGCATAGCGGTTCAGGCGTTTCTTACGCGTGCACACTGTGTGCATACTGGATGCAACTCGCGAATTTATGAAGAGAGTCGCGGTTAAAGAGAATTTGTCGAACGATGATTAGCATTAGATATCATTAGGTTGTAACGGAAACGAAAACGTTAAAACTACCTAGCAGTTGAATTAACATTTTCAAATTCGTCTATAGAAACTGCAAGAGCGCATCTATTGAAACTTAAATTGATTTATAATTTAGTCTACGCGTTGCTAAATTGTCTTTTTAATCATTGCTAACAGGAGGAATTAGTCCGGTAGTTTTAGTGATAAATATTGAAATGAATTAATTTCAGTTACTGTGATACTTTATCGTGAAATTAGCGATGGAGAAATATGGAATGTCGAATATTATCAGTGATAATTATCGTATTATCCATGATAGACACTTAGTAAGTAACTAAATTGGTTTTTTGCTGGCTTCATTAGGAGCAGTGAAGTAACAGTGCTGTTTAGAGTTGGTTAGTGAAGTTTGAACTCATTACAGGCGACTTCCTGTTAACCGCAGTTATGCATACTCGCAACTCGAGTCATACGTAAATTCTTAGAATTAGAACATGTGTACAAATACTTGCAGTCTGGCGCACTTACGTTACAGCCTAATGAATCTTTCAGCCGTGTGTTTCAATCATAATCTGTTCGCGTGAGGACGCGCGCGAAGATTCATTACGACAAAGAATTTTGTAACGTACGAGTGTCATTTCTCAAACGTTGATCTCGAGAGCGATCTGAAATTGTTTATTTCGAATATTATTTGAGCGTGTCGCGGGATGAATTTTTGATTCGTTCGCAATGCCTTTCACATTCTCCGCGTGCGCCGGTAACTCATTTCACGGTTGTTGTGTTACATACAGCCGCCAGTAGAAAAAAACTCATCGCGATAAATCCAGTTATCTCTAGAGCCTGATATAATATCCTTGCCACGGAGTTCAGCATTAATTAATTTCATCGCTGCGGCAAGGTGTATTTCTTGTAATTGACTGCGGTACAGTGATAAATGATCCTGGATGGTAACTTATGGGCGTAGAGGGTCTAGAAGACATTTAAATGAACCGAAAACATTTGGGATACGAAACGTGGAAAAGTTATGTCCCGTTGATCGACGAGTCTTCTCGCTTTTTTTTTTCCTTTTCACTGTGACAGTGGTTAATGCGATGCGAGAATATTGTTGCGAATAAATAAACTGTGGGCAATATCGTGAAAGTGTAGAGTAAAATAGGGAATGAGCTGATGGATCGAGTTTGATTCAATGAAGTGAAACTTGTTTTTAAGTTTCTTTTTAAGTAAACCGAGGAGGTTTCTAGTCGTCCAGTTGGATAGTTTCTTAGTTATTCAGTTATGTAATTCTTTGCTTTCAGTTGGGGGAATGAAAAATTTATGATCAGTAGTTAATTAGTAGTAATGATTACTCCACAGACTTTCAAATCAATTTTAAAAATAGTAACTATTTCGTAATCCTAACTCGTCTAATCATAGCTTCCAATCTATTCTAGTCTTCGAATTGTTTTACTTTTTCTAATTTTTCTTAATCTTCCTATTCTTCTTCTTCTTTCAATTTTTTCTGTTCTTCCAATTCTTCGTCTTGTTTCAATCTTTCCTAATCTTCCAATCCTTCTTCTACTTACAATCTTTTCTAAATTTCCAATTTCTCTTCTACTTCGAATCTTCTCTAATCTTCCAAGTCTTCTTCTTCTACTTACAATTTTTTCCAATCTTCTGATCTTTCTTCTACTTCCAATCTTTTCTAATTTTCCAATTACTCTTCTCCTACTTCCAATCTTCTCTAATCTTCCAATCCTTCTTCTACTTCCAATCTTTCCTAATTTTCCAATTCCTCTCCCCCTACTTCCAATCTTTTGTAATCTTCCAATTTCTCTTCTACTTCGAATCTTCTCCAATCTTCCAAGTCTTCTTCCACTTCCATTCCTTTCCAATCTTCCCACTCGTCTTCTACCTCCAATCTTTTCCAGTCTTCTAATTCTTCTACTTTGAATCGTTTCTAATCTCCCAATACATCCAATTCTAATCATACACCACTATCGACAATACAGGCGCAGACTGCAGCCAAAGAAGCGACAAAGGATTCTGGGAGACCGTGACGTACACGGACTTCTCGCCGGAGGGTTCGGCTAGTCACTGCTCCATCGTTTGGAAGGACTCGTTGTACGTGGTCGGCGGGGAAAGCTTCCATCGAGCCAAGATGATATACGTTTACGATTACAACGGGAAGGTTTGGGAGACTCCCCATATCGAGGAGAAAGTCCCATTGCCGCGGTACGCTCACTCGTGCGTGCTGTTCGGCGACAAGATATTCATGTATGGCGGAGTTGTACAGAACTCCACGGTGACGAACGAAATTTGGGCCTTCGACGTGTCGGCCAAAGTTTGGGAGAACGTCACCGTGCACGATAACTGCCACAATAACAAGACCATGTGCGGACCCTTAAAGGTGATCCCATTATTCTCTGTTCTGCTTTGAGTATCACCCTTTGCTGTACTATACAATTAACCCTTTGCACTCGAGAGGTGACTCTGAGTCAACACTTGATTCGATACAACGAAACTACGAAGTTGAATATTTAATATTTCAAATTGAACTTTGCATTGCTACGTGAAATATTTAAATAAAACACCTTTATTCCTTAATTTATATCTCGTCAGAAAATGTTGAATGTTTCTATTGAAAAACTTTCGAGTACAAAGCGTTCATATAACTTTCTTTACAGTGCTCAAATTAGAATTTTTGATTTCTCGAATTGCCAAGAAATGATTAAAATTTTGTGATTGTATAGAATGAGATTCTTTTCGTTGATCTCAATAACTTTTGAATGTTTCATGAAAATCATTGTCCTTAGTATATTCCTAATAGTTACAATAATACCAACTCATATTCATTAACTGGCGTTTACTAATTTTACTTGTATACGTAACTCAGAACATGAAATTCGAACTGATCCTTACAACTAAGTTCCCAATCAGCCCGCTACTTTATTTCCATCATAAGCAACCGTGCCGATGGTAATAATATAATTAGAATAATTAAACTCCTAGAAATAACCACCTCACATACCAATAAAACAACGATAATAACGTAATTGTTACAACGTGAAGGTGAAATACTAACCGAGCCAATCCTCTAATACATTATTTCACACAGGTAGCTGGACACACCGCGACTCTAGTGCAGAGCCACGGCAAGAAGGAGAAGATGGTCGTGATCTTCGGCTACTCGCCCCAATATGGCTACCTGAACGTGGTCCAGGAGTACTCGTTGGGCACTCGCGAATGGCAAATAGTGGAAACCGTCGGTTTCCCGGTGAAAGGCGGCTACGGCCACACGTCTGCGTACGATCCCCTAACGAACCTGATCTACGTGTACGGTGGCTACGTGTCCGAGTCCCAGAGCACGCAGGTGTTGACCAGCAGATTGTACTCTTATCATCCGAACTTCCGCGAGTGGACGTTGCTCACGTCGGCGCCGTCCGCGCGTTTCTTTCACACGGCCGTCTTCATCTCCGGCGGCTTGATGATGGTGTTCGGCGGCAACATGCACAACGACACGAACCACTCGGACGGCACCAGGTGTTACTCGGCGGACACCATAGTCTACGACGTGACCTGCGACTCGTGGCACCAGTTCCCCATGCCGAAGGAGATGACCGACTTGCCCAGGTACGGGCACAGCGCGACGGTTTTCGAGAAGTCGATGTACATCTACGGAGGATTCGACGGACAGATGTTGTCCGATATGCTCAGGTGAGAGGTGACGCTGGAGTTGCTAGCTTTAAGAGGTTGCGATGGACAGTGGACCTTCTGTTTCACTGTTTGGAGATCTAGTTTCTTCGGGTTTTGGTTGACGGAGGTTAGTTGTGAGTTAGTGGGAGTGTGTGCGATGAGGCAGAGTTGTTTGTGGTCGGTTGAGATTCGCCGGTGTTAATGCGTGTTGAGTGGAAGGGATGGTTAGGAAGATGTCGAGTACTTGAATACTTGGACGTTTGAATGTTTGGAGTGTTTGAATGTTTGAACGTTTGAAGGACGGATCTTTGAGTACTTGAATGTTTAAGTAGTTGAGCTTTCGAATGTTCCGACCTTTGAATATTTGAAGGTTTGAATTTTTAAATGTTTGATCGTTTGAACTTTTGGATATTGCAATGTTTGATCCTTTTGAATATTTGAACGGTTGAGCCAGTGAACCTTTGAATATTTGATCTTTGAATCTTTGTACCTTTAAACTATTGAACGGCTGGAACCTTTGAACGCTTAAAGGTTTGAATGTTTGAATATTTGATCGTTTGAACCTTCGGATATTTGAAAGATTGAACCATTGAACCTTTGAATATTTGATCTTTGAACCTTTACACCTTTAAACCATTGAACGGCTTGAACCTTTGAACGCTTAAAGGTTTGAATTTTTGAATATTTGATCGTTAGAACCTTCGGATATTTGAAAGATTGAATCATTGAACCTTTGAATATTCGATCGTCTGAACTTTTGAACCATTGAAAGTTTGAACCTTTGACCGCTTAAACCTTTCAATATTTAAACGTCTGAACTATTGAATATTTAAGTATTAAACCATTAACAACATTGAAACTACTAAAAATTCTTCCAAAGTCATCATATTCCTAGAACTATCTCCCCACAATGACAATACCCCACGAAACCATTCAAATTTCACAAAACATCCCATACCCAAATTACACACCAATCACTAAGAAAACCACAATTACCGAAGCACACCTCGCTAAAAGTCCGCGTGACTGTGAACAGATACACGCCGGGGAACTGCGAGCACCTGACGAACCAGAACCAGTGTCTGAACTCGCGTACAGGCGTGAAGTGCGTATGGGACAAGCGGGATAGCCGGTGCATACAGATCACCAAGATACCCCGACACGTTCTCATGAACGACGACATGCACGACGGCATCTACATGAGATGCCTGGACGACACGCCGCCCCGCGGCATGACCTCCCACAAGGAGCTGTGCAAGGTGCTCACCGACTGCGTGGCCTGCGTGCAGACCTCCTACAACTGCGTGTGGTGCGGGAAGAGCTGCTCGCACGAGATATGCCGGAACAACGCGAACGCGCCGCCGACAAAGGCGATCACCGATCTAGGACAATGCGACGCGCATACCGGGATCGAGTGCCTGCAGTTGCACACGTGCCACGCGTGCACCAGCAACCCACACTGCATGTGGTCCTGGTCGAACGGCCCGGACCGGTGCAAGCCGCACTCGAAAGCGCGCGAGGTGAGTTCTTCGACGGAAGCACGGTGAACATTGGATAATTGCAACGCTCAACGGGGACGCAAGGTTGCGATCGCGAAGAGCTACAATGGAATTGACCCCGAGACACGAAGATTTTAGAAAAGGACAGCAAGAGCGAAGGGGAAAGAAAGTGAGAGTGTTCCTGGTGCAATTATCCGATGTTCACTGGGTCTTGTGTTTTTAAGGGATGATGGACGAGGCTCGAGGTGGATGTGGCAGTGGCATTATTAGAGTATAAACGAAATTTGTTTGGTTTATTTCATAGTGTGGCAGATGCTTGGGCGATGTTGATTATCCGTTGTGAACGTTTCGGGGATTAATTAGATTGAGTGGTTGGTTTATGGTTCGGGTGATCTGATTTACTTTGAACGTTTGGGGATTCTGGTAATTAGGAATATTTGAATGATTTAGCTTCGTTTCGGAAGAAGTATTTTGTGAACACCTTGCGAATAAGTTTTTCTTTGTGTATCGTGTTCTTTCGATTGGATTTTACTAGTTTTTTAGTGTCGGAGTGTTGGATTTTTAGTAAATTGTAAGAATTCATTTTTAATAGTTCGGGTTCTTTTTCTCTCTGAGTGTCTGGAATCTAAGAATTTTAATACGATGCTATTATAAATTTGATACTATAGAAATAAAAGGAAATAAAGCGAGTGAAACAGGATATTAAGAGAAATTTCCCATAGGTGACCATTTTAAACGGGACTGTACAAGCCCAACGACTGTCCATCGACTCCTGCCGCAGTCCTTGCGTGGAATACACCTCTTGCAAGAATTGCACGGAGTCGGATTGCATTTGGTGTCAGAACGAAAGGAAATGCGTGGACAAGAATGCATATCCAGCGAGCTTTCCATACGGACAGTGCAGAGAATGGACTACGATGGACGCGAAGTGTCGTCCCACGGAAACGGGAAAGGAATGGTGCACGTTTTATTCGTCGTGCGCGGCGTGTCGCTCGGATCCCGGATGCGGATGGTGCGACAACGGTTCCGGAACTGGAAAGGGACTTTGCCTGCGAGGTGGAGCACGTGGCCCTAGCAGTAAAAGCTTGGACACATGCCCGTTCGAACGGTGGTACTTTACCAAATGTCCTAGTAAGTGGATCACAGGATAACAGAATTATTGTGATTTTTATTGGTGGCAATAGTAGTTAGACATTGCGATTTTCAAAAAGAAATTGGTGGTATTTTACCAAATGTCCTAATAGGTGGATCATAGGATAACAGAATTATTGTGATTTTAATTGGTGGCAATAGTAGTTAGACATTGCGATTTTCAAAAAGAAATTGGTGGTATTCTGCCAAATATCCTAGTAAGTGAATCGCTAGATGATAGAATTACTGTAATTTTAATTGATGCAATAATATTCAGATTTGATTTTTAAAAATAAATTGAGTAGTTAGAATCGACAACCTTGGGATTGATTCTATGGAAACAAGAATAATGAGAAAACATGTGGATAGAAATGTTATTTTTAATTTTAAGAAGGCATGACTAGGTAAATTGAATAGTTTTCTAATTTTACTATATGGAAGTGATGAAAATAAAATGGGGACACTAAGAAAATTACATTATTTGTAATTGAAGAGATTAACTAGTTACATTTGATAATCTTCTGTTCGTTTATACGAAGAATAATATAAAATATATAACATAATTGTAAAAAAGTGACTGAAAGCATTTATGCTTGATTACCAAATGTTTCTGAATCATATATAAGATGCACTATATAAAATGCATGGTATATTTAAATTACAATACTGTGACAACAATAATTTCAGCTTGTCAATGCAACGGCCACAGCAAGTGTCTTCCAAACAGCAGCGAGTGTATTCAGCCATGTGGGAATCTAACTTACGGGCCTCATTGCGACAAATGCATCCCCGGTTATTATGGGAACCCCCTGAACGGAGCGACTTGCCAACGTAAATTAACTGAGTCATTAGATCGTTTACCATGAACTCTTGAACAGGACAATGATCGAATTCGTTTTGACTCGTCGTTTCTCAAGCTTTACCTAACAACCAATAAACATTGCATCAACGTTAATTGCTTTAAATAAATGCAACAAACACATGAACTACGTCGGAGGAACAGCTTCAAAAAATTATCTAAAAAAATCAAGTGACGTCTAAACGGATTCAGATCAAGAAATATTGTTGTTCAAAAGTTAAATCGATCGACACCGAACGATTACCTAATTACTTTCTTCGGTTGCAGCCTGTTTTTGTAATAACCAAAGCACACAGTGCACCAGCGAAACAGGGAAATGTTTCTGCACGACGAAAGGTATTATAGGAGATCATTGCGAGCGTTGCGACGTGTCTAGTCTCTATCATGGGGATCCAACGAATAAAGGATCATGTTACTGTGAGTAACACTGGAAATTTTCCTTTCCAAAATTTCTGCTTTTCACTTTGTACCATTGAACTACTGATTTACTTGCAAACATAAATGTGTACGAAGTACTTTGTCAAAATTAGGGTAGCTAGGTCACTTCTCTTATCAGAAGTTCTACGTCAGTAAAATTAACATTACATTAAATAAATATTGAATGAAAGTACTGTTGTATCAAAAATTACGCTGTTACGCTAAACTATTAAATATGATAATTAAATATATCATTAATCCTTTGCTTCGGTGGAATTATCTTATCACACGTTAGACGTTTGTAACTACTATGAATGCATACAGTCAATGAACATTATTATCCCTTTAATTAGTAGGTCAATATAATATAATATAATCGACGTCACTTATTTTACAGATGATGTAGCCGTCGACTACCAATTCACGTTCAATCTGAGCAAGAAAGAGGACCGGCAGTACAGGGCCATCAATTTCAAGAATTCACCGTCGAAGCCCGACATCGACGCGGAATTGTCGATCACCTGTTCCGTGCTCGCCAAAATGAACGTGACCATGAAGAAAGCGAACACGGTGGAGATACCGCTTCTGCTGGGCGCGAACTGCACGACGAACATGTACAAGCACCGTTTCAGCAAAGCGGACTACAGTTTCGGCAGCGAGGACAACAACACGTTGACCACGTTCTACGTCTACGTGTACGACTTTCAGCCGCCTGTATGGATCCAGATCTCCTTCTCCCAGTATTCCAAGCTGAATCTCCAACAGTTCTTCATTACATTTTGCACGTGAGTACCAAAAATATGTTTCCCGACCGTCTAATCAACGAAAATCGGCGATTATATCGGAGAGAGTGAATACCTCTACGATTTTAGTGATCTTTATTATGTTGTGAAATTAGATTTCGATTAGCTTCAACGAGAAAGAAATATAGTTACATATAATGTGAAGCATTATGTCGTATTGTCATCAATAGAAATTGGGAAAGTGTTAATTTTTACGGTGAAAAATACGTTTTCACATCGTAGTCGTATTGGTTAGTCGAACGTTCGATAACAGTTGTGTCTAGTGAAGTATTGGCTAAAATTTAGTTAAATTTCGATAAGTATAAGTATAATAGTTAATGCAGTGTAGTTATTTTTTTCCGGTGAAATCTAGTCGAAATTTAGGTAAGATTTAAAATAGACTTATAAAGTTTGAAACGTATCGAGATCGATGAAATCGATGAGACGTGCCTTTCCTATATGATCACTCGAGAATCAGATACACCGGAGAAATGTTCCGTTAATTGTGTTTCTTGTGTACGAGAAAACGACGATAGACAAGAGAGACGATGATTCGAATCGGCACGCTACATTCTTCTTCCTTTTTTTTCTTCTTCAAAATTGTCCTACGCTTTTGTGTTGTCCTAAGCCTCAGGCAGTACTTACTTGTAAACTAGAGATTACATGCCACCACCCAGGTGCTTCCTCGCTCTATTATTGGTGGCCGCTGTCCTCTGGAAGATTAAACAAAAGTATGACATGTACAGAAGAAGGCAGAGACTCTTTGTAGAGATGGAACAGATGGCGAACAGACCGTTCAGCCAAGTTTTAGTCGAAATCGAGAGGCGGGACGTCAGTAATTCGGACTCGGAACGTAGCGAGTCCGAGCTAACCAATTGCCGCAAGAAGAAAAAGGTTGGTATCTTCAGTTCTACGCCAGTGATAATTGAAATTCCGATCGAGCTAATCGCATTAATCCCTCGAAGCACGTTTGCTATTGTTTCTCCTTAAATTTCAATCAGTGCTAAAAGATATTTTTAAAAACACTTCTCTTGCTGTCGCTTTTCAAAATATTCACAGCTCAAAGTAAATCGAATATTCATTTCAAAGACAAAAGTTCAGATAATAGAATCACGATAGTAAATGGTTAAATGCATACAATTAGGAGATGGCTTGATGTCTAGCAGAACACAAGTGCAATACTTCCCATTCCACATGTACAGTTTCAATTGATCACGTGCAGTCCTATCAACGTATAGCAAATTACCGATTAAAAGTATCAGGAACTAAGAAATAACACCTAGACAACCGGTGGAGAAAAACCGAAGACTGATCGATCAAGTGGTCTCCTAGCATAGACGACTTGACGTCTAACAGCACAGCACAAGGACGATAAGTCTTTCCATTCTATATCTACAGTTCCAATTGATTCCGTACAATCCTATCGACGTATAGCAAATCACTGATCAAAGATATCAGGAGCTAATAAACAACACCTAGGAAACTAGGTCGGAAACAATGAACACTGATCCCTCAGCCTAGCCATCGAGCGATCTCCTATCAGTAAACGTCCGCAGTCAAGAGCTACAATTAACATAATTTATCCCCGCACAATTGCAGGATGCCCCTAGTCCGATCGCGCTAGAGCCCTGTTGCGGCAACAGAGCCGCGGTCCTGTCGTTGCTAGTCAGATTGCCTACTGGCGGTGAACCGTACACGCCGGCCGGTCAGAGTGCCGGCTTAGCAGTAGCGTCTGCGTTAGTTACACTGGGTAGCCCGCGAAGGCCTTCTCAGGAATTGACCACGAAGGAGCCGAAGAAGACACGGAAGTCTGCCAGTCAGCACCCAGACTCCACTTGCATTTAGCGATAAGAGAGACGAGGAGCAGGAGGATGGAGGAGAAAAAGCGCCAGAGGGACAAGTATATATATATATATATAGTATATATATACACACACCGTGGGTGACAATGAGCCTTATTCTGTGATCTTGCCTCGAACGCGAAAATTCGGCAGGAAAGAAGGGAGAGAGAGCGAGAGAGCGAGAGAGAGAGAGAGAGATGTTAACCTTCGAACTCTACTCGAGTGAAATGTGATTCTATTCCGCGACGAGTCTTCGTTTACCGTTTTCCTTCGTGACCACCCACGCAACCATCACCAACAACCGGTCCGTGATATATGTATATGTATATTCCGAATTTAATTGAGACCAGTGATCGATGTTCGACGTATCGTTACGACTCGACGATTCGCTGGGTTTGTATTAACACGTTCGCTGTGGTTGTTCGGTTAAATAGTGTTCGTAGCGTTTTATCGAATGCGGTGTACTCCTTTTCTTGAGATGTTTCGGATACAGCGGAACGCGTTGTGAGTTTTCCGGTGGAAATCGGGGACGATCGGAATATTGTTCATGCGGAGTATGGGATTTCGGTGGTCGAGTTGGCGTGATGCTTGCGAACGTTGTTGGATACCGTGTTATCGTTGTTGATTGCGGATTTTGTGCTTCTATTGGATTCCTTGTCTTTCGAAGGCTGTATTCTCTAGCAACTTGCTTTGTGACTTTGTTGTAACTGTGCTTGGTAGGACTGCTTTCTCGTTTTACGTTGACGTTGACTTCGAAGTATCGTAATGGATAACAGAAGTGGCTTTTTACACTGTAACTACTACGAGTCGAAATGATTTATTTGTGTTCCTTTTATTTTGTAAGCACGGGCATCGTAGAGATGCAAATTATCGAATCAATTGAAAAAAACGGATGGTATAGAATAACGAAGGATTTCTACGTATAAAGATGAACATTTCAATTTCAATTTACATCCTTCGCTATTATGATTCTTCAGTTTTAGAGAACTCATTAATTGCTACTTTCGCCATTCTGCAACCAATCGACACCAAAGTAGTTCTAACGAGTGTTCGCCACGAAGAAATCATAAAGCAAGGAATTAAGGAGATTAACACTAGAACCACTGGACCATCTCGGATTTCTGCTTTCGCAATTTTTAAAAAGGCACACTAGTCATTCTAAGAAATTTGTTTTCTAAAATCTAAAGCATAAATCAATCGAAATCTCAATACTAAAACTAGCGAACAGGTCGAAATGATCCACTCCTGATTTCTTCTTTTTGCAACGATTAAAAAGGCAACAGATGTTTCTCTAAGAAATTATTGAAAAAATTAATTTACCAACACCCAAACTGAATTGTAAATCAATTGAAGTCTCGATAGACGGATTCTTAGAGTTTTTATAGAGGAATTTCGAAAATTCAATTTTACCGCCATGTGATATTAGTGTTAACAAATTAGCGTTAACATTTTCATTATTTGTACAAGAAAACACGTATCGGACGATTCGATTGCTCGGTGGTTTTAGTGTTAATTAGACCTCCGGTCTCGTCGAGTCGATCGAACAATCTATTTCCGCGTACAGATCCGCAGTCCACTTATTCTCTCGTCGAGCAGTAACGATCCGTTCGAGTCTCGCGTTTATCCGAGCGACGTTCACGTGACCGACCCTCGGGGAAGCTTTATATCTTCTGGATTTCTTTCTTTCCCACGCAGACTAAATATAGGGCAGACCTGACGTCCGATGTATCTTTGTGTCACACGATCCGGCCCCATCGATCCAGCCACGTTCTAATAAGAGTGCTCGCACGTGGAAAAGAGCGGAAGCAAACGCGCGAGCATTCGACAAAGAGAACAGGAAGAGATGTCCTCGTTATCTGATGGGCTGAACGTGTGACCCAAACACCCATACAATGTCAAATCCGTCCTCTATGTCGGCTGCCGTTGGTTTCTACGATCCGATGTGTACATTGTTTGTATATAAATCTGTTATACAGTTGTTTCGTTCCCATTGTAGCCGAAGTGTCTTCGCGAAGCATGTCGGGGACTTTCCTTTTTCTTCGTTTCCTTCGTTTCCTCTCCTTTCTCCGTTTCTTTCTTTTTCACGAGTACTCTGAATCGTGGCTCCAGCTTCGAATGCACCGCGAGTTTTAGCTAATCGTATCGATTTACTGAGATTGTAGCGATTATCGTTTAATTGGAACTATTCTGGGGAATTATATTTTACTTTGGTTGAATTTTGCATTGTCAATAGCAAGAATTTTTGCTAATTTTAATAGTCTCCCTGATTTTCTATGCTATAGATTAATAATAAAATGATTCTTCATGCTTGCCGCGACCAAAATTACCAGACAAGATATTTACAATATTTTCACTTTCTTCTCGATTCCTTTATTAATATCACAGATTTCCTGTAGCCCGATTCTACTGTATCTCAATTTCCCAACAACCTTGTTACAATCCTCCCCAAACGACCAAAAGCCAAAACACCAGATCCGCAAACGAAACCACGCGAAACCAACGAGAATACATTCGAAGTATCAGCCACGATTCGCAACAACCCTCAATCGTCATATTCGCGAGCAATCGCGGGCGTGGATCCGTTTCACGGTCGGCCGATCGCAGCGTCGCCGTCTCAGGCACATTTCGTTTCTTGTAAAACTGTAAATACGTGCGTTGCGCGTCTCCGAGCCGCAAGCGATGGCGATTCGCACGGGAACGAACGAGAAGGAAGAATTTAACGAAAAGAAAGAAGAAGAAGAAGTAGAAGAAGAAGAGGATAAAAGAAAAGACACGGCCGCGAGGAAATTGTACAGATTAAAAATTGGCTCGCGGAGAGAAGCGAGGGAGCCACGGAAGGGAGCGCGAATAAAGAGGATGTCGTTCGCGTGTTCGTCTCTAGCGGGATGTAAAGAAAACAGATTCTAAATTAAACGGAGACGAACAGAGGCGACGTTCGCGTATCAGAAATCTTGTGCCAAATCATTTTTCATATCGGGCGTCGTTCGGACAGCCGAGATCGAGCAGAATATGTCGGTTCGAAGGATCATTGTTTTCGAGAACGAAGTATGCCGCGCACGTTGAAACACATTTTATCCCGCTGCTTCGTCTCCGTTCGTCTCCGATGCGAGCGGAAGCCGCGCGATCGAGAGGCAGAGGATCGGGAGGATATTTCGCGTCTTCGATCGCGCGGCGCGCGCTCGGCGTAATTTTTAATATTGTAAAACGAAACGTGCGGGGGGAAGAGAAGAAGGATGCGGACGTTGCAATAAGATTGAATTATTCGCTGCGACTCGCTCCGGTCGACGCGTTCTCGTCTCGCGGCGAGACAGCGGCGTGCTGGACGCACGCACAGCGTGGACGTTTTTGTGTTCCCCTCGATCGCCGGGGGAATGATTGATCGGCGGTTTTTCTTCTTCTGTTACGTGGCCGCGGAGACTTTGTTCCTCGTCCACTTCCTATTTCTGTTTTTCAGCCTCCGTCACGCGGGATCGTAACGTCTATGGTAATTGTTTGATGAAGGAGGACTCGACTGTCGCCTTGATCTTTGCGACGCGGACCGTGCAGGATGCGCGCATTGCGGATGAACCTTTGTTCTTTGTATGGGAGGATTGCCTTGAATTTGCGGAGGGAATTGGATTTGTTGTGTTTACTTCGGAATGATTGAGAGTTGATGATAGTATGTTATTGATTAAGGCGCCATGCTGAAAGATACTTCAGCTGTTTGGTTATTAGAATTGCAAGGAATTTAATTGTTTAAATAGGATATATGTTACCAGTGTATAGATTTCTTCTGTTGGGTATCTTGATGCGTAATTCAGTTTTCTATGGGATGGTTTTTAGAAATTTTATGAATTTTCATCCGCGAAATCGAAGATACGCAAAGATCAGGATAATGGAGTTGAAGCCTTCTTTATCAGATAACTGCTATGTTAAGATTGAATTACGAGCTGATTCTGTTGAGGAATTCAATATGATCTCACGGAATCAATTCCTTTTGGCTGCGACGATCAGTAGAAACGAAATCGTTCTACTTTTTACGATGTAACGGAAAGAAAGATCTCGGAAGGACATCCAGCACTCGCATAAACAGAATCGCGGTTGAAGCATTGTTTATTTTGCTCTTGAGTTGACCCCTTGCCTCATCATTTCTTTAGTAACGATTCTTACAAGGTTTAATTTATATTTAACACGTTGACTGTCGAATTAATTCTATGAACGAGAAACAAACACTGTCCGTAGATCCGTGGTCCTTTGATTCAGGAAAATTTTCATTCAACTCTTCATTTTTATTATCTTAATTCCTAACAGAGTATTGACTGATTGGAAATAGATCTCTTGCCTGAGAAGTCAAGATTTTCCATGGCAATTGTCATTTAATCTTGCATCTCATGGGTCTAACAAAATTACGAGAAAATTCATTTTCAAACCTGTACAGAATACTCTGACAGTCAAAGTGTTAATGATTGACGAGCAGAAAAATAAGTTCTGCATTCATTGCACACTGATTATATAATTATTCATACTTAGACTGCGAATATTCATGCAAATTCAAAATCTCTAAGAGTACAATCAATAACACAGAGTTACAAAGAAAAATATGTTTCCTTAACAAACACTTGGAAAAGCATTACAATTACTTTATTTTCTATATCTCCCCATGCAATTCTACATTTCTAAATTCTCTATAAACGCATAAAAATCCGCAGTCTATTCAAATTAATTCACCCACGAAATCCAATTTCAATTGCTCACCGTAATTCCGAGTTAACCGTTTGAGTCCCAGGACTTTTGCAAAATAACAAAAACAGATGATTCGAAGAAAACCATATAAACAAGCTTAACACTAAAACTACCGGAGGTCAAATTGACCCATCTCAGAATTTCGATTTTGCAAGTATTTCAATTGCGAACGCGTTTTTGCGAAAGATTTTCAATTACATCCGTGTATCTGCACAGACACAAGGATAGAAGATTCTACGAGTCTCAAGAAACGTGTTGCTCTAATTTTTATGGAACGTCGAAAATAAGTCGCTCTGATTGCTCGGTAGTTTTAGTATTAATCAGATGCGACGAACTCTGAATTCAAACGGTTGATCACGAGTCAAGGGGTGAACTCACGAGTTCCCACAGCGAGGAACCGTTCACACTGCTCAAAATAGTTAGAAATCCAATTGCCGCGACTTAGAAGTAAGATTTCCACCGAACCACTCTTTCCCGCGTTGTCGAAGAACCGAACCCTCCGTTGTCGTTCGTCTCGCGTCTAATTATCTTGAGCAGTG